GAGCATATCGACGTATTCCAACATATCATACAGAGACTCGTGCGCCTCTGCAGGTTCAAGGGATAATTCATCAGATATTGCGGTCAATGTACCAGGAGTCAAGACGTTTGTCAGAGACTGTGTCACTGGTGAAATCATGTGAATTGTAGGATGGTGTGCGCTCAGAGGCAGTGTACTCTGATCCGAGATATCTGTAGCGAGGATCAGTACCATCACGGAAGCTTGAGAGAAAGCGTAGAAGGAATTACCTCCAGTTTTTGTATTGAGGTCGATGAAGAGCCAGTTAAGGCTTTGGTTTAGAGCATGCTTTGCGGCCCAGACGAGCCGCTCGAAGCCCTTTTTTCCGTGTAACATTGACGGGAGACGAAGGTCGACCTCTACGACTGCAAGATTTTCAGCTCCATTCCCTACCACGAGGTCGAAGTTCCGTTGCTGAAGAAGAACGAAGGAAAGCCATCGGGGAGAGATGACCTACGATATCTCAACTTGACGTGCTTGCTGCCACCAGAAGGTATGGGCTTGCCTTGCAGACCAGCCCGCTCATATGATTCTTTTGAAAGCTCCAGTCTCAGAACTCCTGGTATTCCAAGTTAGCTCAGGGTGTCAAGCCAATACGATTCCGCTGCTATCGTGGCTTCGACTGACTGTCTACCTGCACATACCTTCTTTCAACGAAAAGATGTTATCAACACCAGCTTCGCCCTCTGAGACCATGAGAATGTTCCCTACACATCCAAAGAAGTTAGGCTTGCTGCTCGTGGTCTGAATGCAGCATTGAGGTTGACAGTGGAAGACAGCATTCGTGAGTCTCACCTCTTTTTACATATTCCGTGAAGAAATCTCCACTGAGTACATCTGCTAGCTTCATGATGACCTTTGCATATTTTACTGGCTCCATGCTCGCGTCCAATTTCTTCCAAAGCAGGCTGTATAGCTCATCGGGAAGAATGACCGTGGCATATTGATTATATTCGAGCCCCCGGATGGTGCGCCATGGAGATTTCTTAGTCGGAGCCTGCGTGGCGTTCACATATGAGGGAAGCTGGCCTGCGGTGATATTAATCTTGGAAGCCGATGAAGGGGATTTAGGAAGCAGAGACGACATGTTGCGAGCAGTGGCTGGCTTGCAAACCGAAGCTGAAAAAGAAGGGATGATTGACTCGCTGTGTCTACGAGGCTGACTTTTGACGAGGCTCTGGTGCGGAGATGGCACTAAACCGTAAATGTGCCGATAAGCTTGGCGCCGTTTATTATTTTGCTCGCAGTTTCAGTTCCAGTTTCTCCAAAAACTTCGAGTTCTTTTCTTCAATTCATCGTGTCCTGAGCTGGACCATGCATGCAATCGCCCAGCTTCCAGACGATTGCTCTCAAGGTTAGCGATGCTCTGTTCCCTGTCCCTTGCTTGAATGATGAACATTATACAATCCAACTCCAAGGACTCACGTTCTATGAGGAGCAAAATCATCTCTAGAATTACGCTGACCGTCTTGCTACCCTTTTCCCTGCACCCATCCTGACTTCGCAGAATGATCGCTGACTTATTGAAGGCTATGGCAGATGGTTCAAGGACTTGCGTATGCTAAAACGGCCACGCACAGCATTTCTCTGAAAAAGGTACGACTTACATCTACTTCATCTTGTTCCTCTCGTGATGACCCCTTGACACGAATGGCATTCCTCAGACTTAATTCTCCATGTGGAATCTGTCTACTACAAGTTTCAGCCTTGTCTGACCCATGCGCATCTTCAACTCTTCCAGTTTTTCTGTGTCCTGACACGGAAGGCTAACGAGATTTTGTGACAGGTACATTCTTCGCTCCTTATTCCCTTCCCTTGCCTTATCGCCGTGACGAAGACTTGAACGAACGGGCGGACAGACTGCGTGTGTGGCACCATACATCTGGAAAAGCAGGACGTACAATCCTTGTGGATGTTGTGAGGCCGCAACACTTGTTGAGAACTCGTCAGCTGATCGAATGCGAATGCACCAAGCGTTGTTGGATTGTACTACATATGTGTGAAGCGTTGCTAACAGCCCTGGTTTCAGGTATTTACGATGCCCTTCTATTTCTCATTTCAACCTGCATCCTATGATGAACAATATTCACACTGTTTGAACCGAGCCTTCGCTTGGAAATGAACGTTAACACTGAAAATTCTGATTTAATGAGGTATGTTTCTTGGATCATCTGCTGTTTGCTGCCTCTTGCTGACAGAGTTGCTAATAGCCTGACATAGATGTTCAATTTGCCCATTTGCGCAAAAGATCTGATCTCGAGCCTGAGCTGACCGACTATTGTTTGGTACAGGTAAATCCTTTTTACATCGTTTGAGTTCGATTGGAACAAGAAGTAAGCATATAACCTCCTGTTGATGCGTTTATCCTGATGATCTCATGTATTTCGCTGTGTTCTTACTGAATCCCTATGTCGAATATACATCACCTTGGAGAACTGAAATGTTTCTGGCTTGGCCCAATCTGTTACGCTGCTCTCTGTTCTTACAGACATGTGCTGACATCACATTAGTTGCTCTGTTTTCTCGATGGATAGTGTAGGAAAAGGTGATCAGTTTAAAGTCGTTTACACTGAATGAACTGCCTGCGAACTATGGGTGGCTGTTATACGTCGAGCTCTTGAACCACTTGTTTCTGTAGCGGATAGATATATGCAAAAATCATACATTGAACAGCGATTTCATTGTCAAGAGTGTTTTTCACTTGAGCAACGGGTTTTTGTTCGACTTCGAGTAAGGCACGTGATGATAAGTATTTGGAGCTTGGGCTTAGCATCTCCTGATATATAATATATATTTCCACTTCCCCAAACCGAACTGCCCAAACCGATTCTTTGCAACCATTCAATCTGCGCCATTTCTCACTGCGACCAGCTACACTTAATATTCCTTTTGGTCCTCCTGTTGGGAAAATACACCCCAATGTCTGGTTTCGGTGCTCCAGGTGGTGGCGCGGCCAACTACAAACCCACCCCCCCGGAACGCGGTTCCTTCCCACTTGACCACGACGCGGAATGCAAGCACGTAATATCCTCCTATCTGCGATGCTTGAGGAGACAGAACCCTCCTGGGAGGAACAACGAAGAGTGCAGACTACTGGCAAAGGAATATCTTGGTTGTCGTATGGAGAAGGGTCTCATGGCGAAAGATGAGTGGACGAATTTGGGATTGGAATTTGGCAAAACGGCTGCAGGCAACCCGGACGCTCCTGGTGCTTCTGGTAGCGAGAGCAAGAAAAGCTGAAGAGCGGGAAATATTTCAGGCTGGTTCCTGCGCATTCCGTAATTCGTCCAGGCAACATCACATCCGAGTCGGGTCGACTTCTCCAACCACCAACGTACAATTGATCCTCGTCTGCACACTCAATGGCCCCATTCAACTCTTTGCGCCCACCGAGTACCCGACTATTCAACGTGGACCGGTCTGCAGCCATGACCGCCTTTCTCGCTGCTGGATAGCAGGCTTGTCCCGAATTTCAGACACCTTGTCCGGAAATGCATGAAACTCCAGATCCAGTCCTCGTCCGAGCGAACTAGATGGTTCGAACCCATCAGTCTGGCCCTTGTATGGGAAAACTTGGAGGATGGAATCTCCGCAATGCCAGCATTCAGATGAAGCTTCTTACTGTCCAGATGTCAACATCTGCTTGAGATTTGACTGGGCAACTCTTCTATTCTGGCTTGCCGCGGTTCAATCCTAACACATTGCTTGATTTCAGCGGATGATAGCTTGGATCTGACGCTGATCCAAATTTGGATGCGGCAATTTTGGAGGAAACTCAGGTGCGCATCAGGCAGTCAGAGTGTGTCGGACGTGGCGAGGTGTTGGCCTTGTGGAAGGCGAGATCCAAGGGGTTGTCTCAGTGCTTCCAGTGTCACGAGCCGTCTCTGTGACCGATTCATGCTGAAGTTCATACACTGTGATAGTCGGAGAAGTGAAGCCATATACACACAAGGCGACTATGGAACTCCACTGACAGGCTTTGATTGGTACGAAACTGGACTTTACAATGGTGCTCGAACAAACAGCCTCTAGGGAGACAAGGCCCCGTGGCCCCTTACAGTGTCGAGGAAACTACTCCGTAATACATACCTCAAACAAAATACCTCGTTGCTCGACTCTAAGAACAATGGGATGGGATGCCTTATAATAGTGTGAATTCAAGCTCGCAAAGGCCCCAGGCAGTTCGGGACGGGCCAGTTCCGCAGGGAGCCTAGCATCTCGCCTTTACTCGAGGAAGAAAAAGGTGTGTGAGCTGGTGAAACCTCGCCCCTTTCTTCCAATACTCATCATCGAGATTAATAATACTATGCGAGGTCTCCATGCCTTCGTATCGATCTCTTGTCCTGTGGAGCACACAGTGTCTTGTCTCTGGCTTACGGCAGCCTACGTATAGCATTCCGACACCGACGGACAATACGAGTACTCGTATGCGCAATCTCCATCTTGCAGGACCCCCTTATTGTGATGGCCCTCACAGCCATGTTCTACTCTAGACTCTTGAAGGTGTCACTGAATGTCTCCTGGCCCATCACAAACCCACGCCAACTTGCCATTTGACCTGGTCCATTGGAGCACTGGTCGTATCACACAAGGCTAGCGGGACTGACTTGGGAGATTTTTGCAGGGATGTCTGCAGATTGTTCCGCTAGCCAGACCCGCTGGAAACGGTCAACATGGCCTGAAACGGCCCCTCGGGCAAAACTCAGACACATAACCTGGAGTGGCCTGCCTTATCGAACATGGGTCATGACTCCAGACCGCACCTCATGATTGGGCAAAAGTCTCGGGTTCGCGATGGGCGGGAAGAGATCGCCATATCAAACAGGACTGGACATGGTATTTGGGCTAGGGCTGTCTAGGCCTGGCGTTGAAGATTCTCTTGGTTTATATGCTTCGTTAACACCCCTCGTCGCGATGCGAACACCGGCAGACTCAAGTTCTCAAGGGATTTTGGGACCGTTGATGCCAGAACTATCATGAACATGGCCCTTGAAGCGTCGGCGAGCTACAGTCCAATCCCGGTGGGAGACGACGACGACGGCACGGGCGACGAACAGAGACTCGTCCAAGAGGCGGCACACAACGACAGTCACCACGAGGCTCCCAGTCACCAGAGACAAGAGTCGGAATCAACAGACGTGCCTGTCATTGAGATATCTCCACCCCCTTCACCTCCGTCACCCTTTTTACCTCCTACAAGGCTCTACACCGAGCGATCCGATCATGTCCCTGTGCCCCAGACACCTCCACGTAGGTCTATGATTCTTCGCCGCGATGGCTACTCTCTGACCGGAGAAACAGGGCACGATACACAACCAGCCGCACAATCGCCCGAGAAGCGGAGGCATTCGAGTCAGAGTGGATGGAGGGAACGCATCTACAGTTCCATCACGCCCTCACTTCACGAAGTCCTGGAGCTGAAATACTCCCTTCACAACACTTCGAGAGAGTATAGACACGACAAACAACGAAAGCGGCTTTTGCGACTGACCATTGGTGAATGGGTCAACAGCCTGATCCTCTGCGTCGTATACTTTGGCATCCTCTATGCCTATTCCAAGAAGCTGACCATCAGCGTACCCCAACGCCGAGAGTTCAACGCCCTCACCACCGGCGTCTCCCTTCTTCTCGGGGTCAACTTGGCGGCATCGTTGCGCAGCTACGCGAAGCTCCTCCGCTGGCGAATCCTGGCGGCGTGTTACCGACCGCTCGAGACTTTCGATCTCGTCATGGGCTGCGACAGTCTCATGAACGTCATCAAGCTCCTCTGGAAGGCGCGGAATCGGGAACGCCGATATCTGCCGTCGAGGACTCAGGTTCTTTGTGTGCTGTGGCTCCTGGTCCACCTGGCCGTCACCGTCCTGGTGGGCATCATCGGTCTGAACTACAACTTAGACACGTCGAACGATTACGTCCTCACGCGGAAAGGGGAAACGAGCATCGTCGACCTGAACGCGCTTTCCACGGGCGACTATCCGGCCGACCTGGCCGCCACGCAAGAATGGGGTGTCCGCGGAGAAACCGCAACTGTGCTGAATTATAACAGCGACGTTGTCGAGTCTATGCAGAGCTACTTCTCGTCCTCGGATGGGTATACATACTACTACTTCCAGGACCAGAACGCGGACGACTCGGACCAGGTGATCGTGTCAACCCGGTACATCGAGTCCCAGGCTTACTGCCAAAGCTACGACGTCATCCAAGGAGTGTATGGCAACCTCTCGTACATTGTCTATCACGATGGCGACAAGCACGTCAACAAGTCCCTCCCGGCGAGTCCGGGCCCAGGAGGCCTCCTGACAATGTCAAAGTTGAACTCGACCTGCGGTTCAGGGTGTGTGGAAATCCACACTTTCCAAGCCGCTGCGTACCCGGACGGCGGAATTTACGATGACGGAATCGGGACGTATTTCGTCTGCAATAATACAGTGGTGAGTCTTGAGGAAGCCCTTTGGGATGTGTTGGTCTGCGTCTTCCCTATTTTCGCCCCCCTTAACCTGACGGGCTGGGTGGCAATCTACACTCCATCATGTTCCGTACAGCTGACGTCTTCACAGCCTCAGGTCGGGGACGCCTACAACGAAGTCACGATCGACTATGAAATATATGCCATCGTGGGCAGGATGCTCGCGGGGGCGATCGGGTGGAGCGACAACCCTCCGACGGCCGACGGCAAGGAAGAGTACGCCGTGTACACGAACTCGTCGCAGGTGGGCTTTCTGGGGGCGGCCGGCCCGCTGGAGATGGCGGACCTGATCTCGTCCTTCACCATGGGGGCCATCTCCTTCATGGACAACTCGCCGGCCATGTGGCGCAAGACGGTGACGAGCACGCGGCAGCCCATCGCCGCGCAGGTCCTCAAGGTGACGTGGCGGTATGCGGGCACCATCCTGGCCGTCATTCCCTTTATCCACTTTTGCACGCTGGTCGCCGTCATCCTGTGGGCCAACAAGGCCATCATCAAGGACGACAGCCACCTCGCCATCGCAAAGGTCTACCACACCCTGCTCGCCCAGCTGGGCGACCGCGGCTGTCTGCTCCGCGGCGACGAGCTCGTCTCCGTCCTCGGCAATCCCCACGTCGCGTACGGGTGGCAGGCCAGCAGCGAATCCGACGGCGCCATGCACGTCGACGTCTTCCAGGGCTTGATGAGGGTCGAGAAGGTCTTTGCAGAAGGCATGTACGACGGGAGCAGCAAGGTGAATGATAATAGCAACACCACCACCATTACCACCACCGTGCATAAAGGGCAGCACAAGGGTTTACGCAATCGTTATCGGGACATCGACGCGGCGGATTACTTCTGATGATGATGATGAGAAAAGATACGCATAAGAAAAAAGACCCAACTCTGTTTGGCACACACACAATAAAAACCAACTTTCTGTTTCCACTCACTGAACGACAAAAAGTCCAATCTCCCTCCTTCTCTTGCCCCCAACCAACCGCACAAAAGCTTCCACGGCCGCATCTCTCCGCGACGATATGAAAACCCTCGACCAAAGAGGAAAATAGTCGGGAAGCGAGATTTTCAAGCAAAAACCGCGCGACTCGGGTCGATCGATCCCCACCACCCATAGCCCTTGATAAAGTTGTCCTGGCCACTTGAAACCCTTACACTAGTGAACAAGCCTGGTTCTGCCCTTTTTTTACGGCTGCACGCACGGTGAGAAAGCTTGCTCATTTAGCCAAAAGAAGAAGCTCTCAGCCAGCCAGCCAGCCAGCGCAACAAGGGAGGGAACCCCTTCTCTCTCTCTCCACATCGGATCCATTTCTCGTAATACCCCCCCCCCCCCCCCCCCCCCGGGGGATGGTGGTGGAGGCGGCGGGAAGACCCATCACTTTTTGGAAGCAAAAGACCATTTGCGCTTCTTGCTTGTCTGAGACGTGGAGCGCTGGCTATCAGCCATAGCGATACATCGACCGAGGTATTCGCCGTACTGGTGGCCGCCCCCACACAAAGCATGTTAGCAAGCTTGCTAACTTGGGAGCGAGAGACGGAGACTAGAGGCAAATGGGGAGGGGGCGAGAGGACAAAGAAAACAAAGAGAGATCATAACTCTGATTGTTATCATGAGAAAAGAACTCTGTCTCCGTAAAACTCACCTCGGCCAATGCTTGCGGAGTGTCCGTTTGTGCTTGAGGTCCATTCCTCAGTGCAGACTGGTTCTCGACGTTCTTGACCCTGGCTGGAGCCTCGCTGGTGGAAGCGGAGCCGTCGGAGGTGCTCATGGTGATCAGGCGACAAGGCGACAAGGTGGCAGGGCAAGGTGAGATGCAGAGTTAGGGAGTGGTTGGGTCACCACACGACCTATTCCTTGATCGGGGGAGGGAGAACTTTTGGACCGAGAGGGACGACGGGAAGAGAGAGAGAGAGCCGCTACTGCTTTTGGCTTTTGGGCTTCAGGCGTGGATGGAGTCTGTTGTCCTAGCAATGCTGACCTAACCTGACCGAAGGTTCTAGTGCACCAGGTTCCAGGTGAGAATATGCCTATGAAATTGAAAATAGAGCTGTCGGTGTGGGAAGAGGTGCAAGCCGTGCGAAGAAGGAGGGGGCGGTGTGGTGGCAATGAGGTATTTATCCGATCGATATTGAGAGAGCAGCGGAGCCTGGACGATCACAAGAGGGGGAAAGGGAAAAGGGAAGGGGGATGATATTTGATATTACCGTGAAAGAACCCTGGGATATACTGCGAAACAAGATGCTTTCCATCCTCCCAATGGGGCGGGCGATGGCCGACTAACTATATTCGGCGCCTATCCTCAGCCTTTTGTTCGGGAACCCCTCGATCTTCCCTGCCTGAAGGGGGGCGCTGCAAGCAGGCTGCGGCCACAGGTGTATCGCCTCTGACGCAGACGCAGGCGCAGACGCCAGACGGCAACTGTAGTAGTGCAAACTCCCAAATAGTTGGGATGTCAAATGTTCGACGCCTGGACCTAGACCTGGACCTGACCTGGAACTGGCAACAAGGGAGCGATGCCGAGCTCCATGGGGGTCTATTCTTTGGCATGGAATGGATAGGGAGAGCGTGTTGAGTAGGAGTAAGTCGTCAGAGTTGGAAGTGCTCCTTTTTTGGACACGCTGGAATAGGCAGTTCCACTATCCGCATTCATGGCCCTATTGGATAGGCATCATTTATTGATTCATCAATCAATAACCTGACATGACAATGAAGGGCAGGGCTCCGGCTGCATGCTCCTGTCTTGTGGCAGGGATCAGGGAAGGGGCTCCAATAATGACAGTGATGGATGGAAGGGTTTGGCACCTCTAGCCAAGTCGGTTAAGGTCGCTGTGCTCGTACGTTGATATAATCACCCCCCTGCTCGTACTTATGCAAGGTGTCTCGTGCAAATACCTGAATAGGCCTGGTGAGAAAGCCCGTTGACCAGTAACAATGTCCTGCTCTGTCAACCTCCACCCGGTGAATTTCGTGGGCCCCTAGCACCGGTGTACGACGTTATTCAATTCTCCATCTTTTCTTCCCAATGACCTTCGTTGCAAAGTCAAGAAGCAGAGAGTTGGTGGGATGGATAGAAGGACGGATGGAGGGTGTGTGTCGATCGAACCAGTCAGAATGTCGTCTTCAGCCCTAACGTAGCTTAGCTACTTCTCGACATTATACATACCCAAAGAGGCGGGCCTTGATTACGCTCACACCGGTCCTCCCTCCCCCCTGGCGACCTCGGGGCGGGGTGGAACATGGGCGTTTCGGCTTTGCCTCCTATGTAAGAGCCTCGGACACTTTGTGAGTCGCACCGCAGGAATTGATAGCATGTGCTAAATCTCTCTGTTGACAACAAGAGGTTTAAAAATGTGCTTCTGTCATGTGAGGTTTGTGTGTTGTCGTCGGATCTCTGATGCCCTGTGGCGTGGGCCCACTTGATCATCCAGTGATAAAGGAGCTGGGAGTTGTTGTCTCTGGGAAACATTGGCTGCACCATGGCAGAATCCCACAGGATCCCCCATCGGGTCCAGCTCAGCCTTGCGCAGAAGGATTTTCGCTTGCAACAAATGAGTCCTAGAGTCACTAGAGGGGGTTTGACTGATTACTTGCTCGCAGGTAAATGACTACTCGGTACAGTTGGGGAGTTGAGGGGCCAAAAAGGAATGACCTGGTGGGTGCCTGGAGCAGCCCTGGCGTGCTTGGGTAACTTATCCGAAAAGCTTGATGACCGTCCAACTGTCGCATGCACAATTAAATCAAGTTCTTCATACATTGTACATAGGTGCCCGTCCAAGGTACCGTGTACGAGCTGCTTCATCTCTGCAATTTTAGTTTTCGAGTCGTCTTTTCCTTTCTAAGCCTTCGTTTAGATGCACATCTTTTGTGATTAACCGAAAACTGGCCTTTGCCGGAAACGCCACCAGCCTTTCGTTTCTGACGCGGCACAAGCCTTTGCCGGAGATTTTGACCCTAGCTTAACGAACAACCAGAAACGCGGGAAAAATTCATCAAGCATGAACTAGAGATACGTGCAACCCTCGGTTCAATCTCTGGCTCACTCGACGGGCTTGTGCACGTCCCCCGTCATTGCTGGAACAATCGGCTCGATTCTTCGAGGCAATCACCTGCGGGTCCCAGGTTCGCCTTTGAATCATCGATCCTCTTCAACCCGGTCCAGCTCCATTCCAGCCTCCTCGAGCCATATGACCTGATAGAGTTTGGGCGGCCATACAGGGGATCCAACTCCAGAGCAAAGGGTAAAACAGGAACATCAATAATGCACCGTCATGCGCTTAGCTCACCTGCACGTCCCGGACTTGATCCCGTACAGCCACTCACTACGTCTCCAAACGGCGATTCTGGAAAGACATTTCCAACACAAGGATTGGTTGCGTTCCGTCACAAGAGGTGATTCACTAGCGAATGAGGGGAGACGAAACAAGGCCACGAATAATGCGTATCCAACTGAACCCGGCGACAAGGGCAAGGGCAGTGGAAGGCAGTCGTGGCAAAGTATCATCAACACAAAAGCCTCAGATGCTGCCGCTGCTGCTGATGAGAATGATGACGCAGCAAGGCCACGCACCTTGCTGAGATGCAGCACTTTGCGGAACGATCGACCAGAGTCTTCATTGCTTGGCGCCAGAAAGGGAAACTGCACTACAAAGAATACGACGACGGCCTTGCACCATAATGCAAGCTCTCTGCCGGCTCTCGACGTCAGCTCCAGCTCCCATGAACTATCACACATCCAGATGCCCCCGGATCCTGTCCTCCTGACATTCAGCACCCCTCCCACTTACACGGTTGGACGCCGGCACCTTCTCACGAATCCCATTTCCGCAGACCAGCAGACTTTCCTCTCTGCTAATGGTCTGGCCACCTTTCATGCCTCCCCACGTGGTGGCCTCCTCACATACCATGCACCGGGCCAGTTGACGGGTTACGTGATCGTCGACCTTCGGAGGTTCGGCATCACCGCGAGATGCTGGGTAAAGCTGTTGGAGGAGAGCGTCATGCGCACTTGCAGCCGCTGGGGCGTCCGGACTGGGAGGACGGACGATCCGGGAGTATGGGTGCTGGATCCCGGCTCAGCTGCAGATCAGGAGAGGGGCGGCCGAAGCGCTTCCAGGCCGCCTAAGGGAACAGCAGCTACCGATCGGAAAATCTGCGCGATCGGTGTCCAAGTCTCGCGTGGTGTTACCTCCCACGGAGTAGGATTGAACGTATATGACGCACCGCTTCCTCCGTCGGCGACCCCATCGTCTGCCTCATTTTCAACAGGGCTCTCATCGTCACCAGGCTCCATCCCCTTATTGACATCGCCTTCTCCCTCGGCTGCCGCGTCCTCATCAGGACGACGACTTTATGACTTCATCCCTGCACAAACATCATCGCCTTCTTACGACCCCATGACGCGAGGTTATTTGTCATGGGGTTTCAGCCGCATCGTGGCTTGTGGGCTGGAAGGAAAGAGCGTAACCTGGCTGACAAGGGAGATGTTACGCTCACATCCGAATTCATCCTCGACCGCGATCCCTAGCTCCGACAAAACAGCACACGAACACTCATCTTCTCTCCCTTCTACAGCTGATGCCGGAGAAAAAGGCGTTTCGCTCACTAATGACGATCAACCACAGCTCATCGCGGAATCAATCTCGATGGAATCCGTTGCGGACGTGTTTGCTCACGAGATCGTCCACGGACTGAACGCCATGAAAACCGAGGGCAGGGAGACTGTGGATGGCGTATACAGGGTCCAGGAGTCGGATTTTCTTTGATCAGAAAACTCCTTGAAGCTCTACGAGGGTGTCTAATCCGGTGCCGATACCCGGGACTTTGTGTAACGACGGCTGCAAATCAATGCGGATTGATCTGCTACCCTAGTCCTTCTCTCCTCCGGTTCGACTCCATCACCATGACCACCTATGTGCGTTGGAGTTGCGCCCAGAGGCCGCCGCTAGACCTGGCACAACGACGTCTATTGCTCGGAGGCATGACTAGAGACATCGATATTTCTTCGGTGGCGTCCTGCATAGGAAGATGGACCTGTCGGACACTACACGAGGACGACCAACGATGATGACGGCGCCACCACCACGACGGTGCCGGCTCGGGCACTACGGTGTTACGGCTCACGGGCCAGGCTGTTTCAATCTGGCACTTCGAGCCGTTCGCGTCCTCTACATATACAGAGGCAACACACACCTTTTGGGTAAATGGAGTGTAAGATTATTTTATCTTTCGTGACGAACAAAAACAAAGCAGAAAGCTTGAGGACTAAAGGAATCCTTTGCCGCAAACACAGGGCCCCTTTCGAGCGCCGAACCAAACCCCAAAGTGTCTCTGCTCGCCTGACCTTTTCTGTACCTTGAGCCCATGCCCATGGCCGAAGCTTAACAACGACAGCACCGTTGGGCTTTTCCTTGAGTCTGTTGTCTCCTATTTTCCCATTTGTTTGTTCTTCATCGTAAAGACTTGCAACCAGTCCACCGGGCTCCAAAGGACAGCATTCCTCTCCCCATCCCCCGGCTCTATCAAGACTGAGATTCGTGATTATTTATACAGCAGTAATGACAGTCGTGACTTTTGTGTCGTACAGGAATAGAAAAGAAATGGGATCAACTGCTGTGCTTCAGTAAAGACCGGCGCAATATCCCCAATGCTGTGCATCTGGTATGCCCATGTCAGAAAAGCGGTCGCTCCAGTTCGCCGGGGAAATGCTGGGATGTTCATAGAGGTAACTGAACCTCGAATTGTTGCCCTCGGTATACATAGGAAAATATTTGCACACCTCGGTGTGTGCTCGAGAAAGGTGTACAGGGCACCGGGTGAGGTTCAGGCGAGGGCTAGCTGTGGTGGGAAATCAAAAGGCGAAGTCAATCGCGCTTCCCGTATTCTTCTTCTGCATTCCATATCGCAGGTTGAAAGTCGGAATTGGCAAAGTGTGCAGGGCTCAACGTGGAACTGAGAATGGTATCCAAGGTATCAGCAACGGGGTCAATACAGCAGGATATGTAAGAAGGTGATAGTGGCCAAATTACGGAGAAACACGCCGAAGACGATCTACAAAGGAGTGATGCTTACCTGCCAAAAGATGCTGGATCCAGAGGGAGGCTTTTGTTGCCTTGAAGGCTGTAATTGAAACAATTCTCGTTGTATCTGATCTGTGGCTCGTTTGCTTTGACGTTGTTCATGACGAGCGTTCTGGTAATGGCAGAATTTGGCGTTGCTGGAGACGGGGGCTGAGGAGACTGTGGTGACGGCGAAATTTGCGGCGTCAGCTGCAGCATTGACGAAGAGTAGCTCCGCTGTGGGAGGGAATGCGTTCGGACTGGAGGTGGCGCCTGTTGCTGCGGCGGCACCGCGTGAAAACTAGTAGGAGGCATATGTGGAAAATATGACGCTTGTGCGGAATTCGATTGTGCATACATCATGGTCGGCGGATTTCGAAAGGGAGAAGTGAAGACGGTATTGCCTGAAAACGACAGGGAGGAATCCGTCAGGGTGGTTGTAGCTTCCGGGAACATCAGGGATAAGTGGTCAAGATTTTGAGGATCTTCAGTCTTGAAGTTCTGACTGGTCGAAGACTGGATAAAATGGGGAGTTTCCGTCTGCAGATACACCTGCAACGGCGCTGGCTCTGGGACCGGCATTTGATCGTCTTTGTAAATGATGTCGTAGTGGCCGCTAATGCTCAAATTAGTTCGGCTCACGTGAAGGCAGATGCAAGGAGGAACTCACGGACGGTATATGAGCCGAATTGTCGGCCATCCTTTGGCATTATCGACGAAATGGTATGAAGTCACTTCATCGCCAGTGCTTCTGTCCAAATATGCCACTTCAAGTGCAATGTACGCGGGCGCAATGACGGCATCCGTCAATGCTTGAAGGCCAACATGATCAATCTCTTGATTTGCAGGATCAATCCTTGTCAAACAATATTGTTGAACTGGCATTTCCAGGAATGCCTCGTATCGGTCGGGTTGAAGTTGCATGAAGGAGCTTGTCATCATCTGATACAACGTCAAAAAGCATGCCCCAGTAGGGACGGGTGGAACGAACCTTGAAATGATAGACAATTGAATTGGAAATGTTCTCGTCGTTGAGCGAATTAAGCAACACAGCTTCGTTGATGTCTCTACGCTCGACAGCAGACTTGAGAGCGTCAAAGAGCTCCCAAGTATAGTCAAACATGTCGATGATGATATCGTAGTCGATGCCAACGCTGCGCATGGTTTGCTCAAAGCTGCGCAGGCGAACCAACTCTTGAGTGATTAGACTGGGATCTCCAGATCGGAGCAGGATCTCGAAATAGCCGAAGACAGCTCCTACAAGCACCAAGAAGATTGTAATTAGCTAGATTACCAATGTCATGCAAAGAGACGAGCACTTACCACGCCAGCCGCATTGTCCATCACCTTTGATTTGTCGATATGCGGAATGCGTTGCTTCGAGTGCCTAGCAATCGTAAACAGGGAGCTGACGACGATAATAGAGTCTACATACCTTTGTTTTGACCACAAATGTTGGGTCGGCTTGTGCGTATTCGGTCACAAGATGAGAGAGTGGCTTTTTACTTCCTATCAAGGGTCCCTAACAAAGTCTCAGTATGACGTGCCTTTTCTCTGGTCCATTTACGTACAGGAAGATTTGGTTGGTATTGGTCAGACAGTGTCTGGAATTGCTCCATTTCATCGATTTCAGGGGTCGCCATTGCGGAGGTGGCGCGGTTCGACGTGGTTGACGGGGGATAGCTGTAGGGTTGGTGGCGAGGAAGTCCAGGAAAATATTCGAATGTGGCAGAGTGTTGACTTCCGGACGATAATTGCCAATGCGGATGTGGAATTGGCTGAGTATGGAAAGGGCCGAATGAGTTGTGAAAAGGTAGTGGTTCTGGACAAAATGTCATCTCCTCTTGTTGAACAATCAAAACGCCAGGGCGGTAGACACGGGTGGCAACCTGGTGGGGCCGACCTAGGCTGAGAGACCTCTTCCTTGGAGTCAGGTTGGTCTGGTGAGCTGTATTTTGATTCCTGCAAGTGGTGTGCGTGAACCACAGGTCGTAGATGTTCAGATGTCTTAGACCATGGTTGGAATAAAGAGGGAATGGCTCGTGAAGCCGAATAGATTTCCCTCCCACTATGAGCCAGGAGTGAACGGGGACAGGACCCTATCACTAGTAAGGCGTCTGCTGACGTCGATGCGGCGAAGTTACCGAGAAGTCCAAACTCGCACAATCGGCACCCAGAGACAATGGCAATCTTGAGATCGTGTATGTTTCGAGCGAGGTAGTAGGCAGGAGAAAGAGGAGGGAGGTGATGTTAAACGATGGTTTGGTTCTTTGCTTAGGCTGGGAGCGCCAATGCAGGCCTTCCTTTAACCCAGCGCCGCGGAGGGACCCCTGGTGCTGGCGGAGTGGGTGTTTTGAAAGCTAACTTGTTGATCAATCGGCCGTGGTCGGTCGGGGCCAATCGGGGATGTCTTTAGCAACTGAGTTCTGTGCTGAGTACCAGGCCGGATAAGAAATGCCGTTTGCTCGATTGTCACTGTCTGCAGGTGGGAGGTGCAATGGCTGGTCCCGTCCAACCCGGAGGAGGAGCCGAGGATAGGAGGATTTCAATCGGTGATGGCTCTAATCGGTGGCAAGGAGGATGGTTTCGAGACTTGGAGGAATGAGAGCGGATAGATCATGGGAATTTAGGAGGAGGGGAAGAAAGAAGAAGTATCATTGACAGTGATGGGGGAATTGCCTGGTTGAAGTGAAACACGAGGTCAAGTCGAGGTGAAGTGAGGGTCAAGTTGGTGGATGCGTCTAACTAAAGGCTCTGGGGGAGTAGAGTTGCTGGCTGAGTCTACGAGGTACAGTACTGGCTGAACGTTTTGATCGGCGGGCACGCGTGCACGCGTGCACCTTCTACGGGCATGCCCATGTGGAGGTTCGAAGCACTTGTAGGTAGACATGCCCGAGAAAGCCCCTCCAAACAGTGGGGTTCCCAGAGCATGTTAGTTAGGTAGGCACGTACATAGGTACGAGGTACAGTAACTTTTAGGTGGTGGTTGTGGTGGTGGCGGGAGCAGTAATGGTAAACAAGGTATGCGTGATAGGGTATGTACGTACGGACGACGGAGTAGTTGCGCATCACTCAACTGGTACTTGGGGTCCATTGGCAAATTCCCCAACGCTCTGACCCATCATCTTTTCATCTTTACTACCTTCTCGTCTGGTTGCATTTTCCAGGGAATGCAAAACCTTATGTACAATAACTTGGCTTGTTCTCTGATGCCTGCTAGAAAAACCTTACTTGATGGCTTGTTGGACAAGGTTGTGCTCCTCAAGCAAGCACCCCCCAGTCACCGCTTCAAAGTCTCTATGCCGGCGAATCAGCGATGCGGCTTGTTTCCACTCATCAGGGCCCCTCCTCCAATCTGAATGGGACAGCAAGCTGTCGCTTTGGCAGCGCTCATTTTCGGTCACTGGCTAATTGGCTTGTAATAGGAGCGAACCAATGGTCTCCCCAGTTTGACTCCCGCAAAGACGATCTTCGTTGCCCTCAATGACTGGCCTTTTCAAAAAAGAGCAAAGAGACACACGTACATACAAAGTAGGGGTCCGAGAGTCGAGAACCTGTATCATCGGACCATCATTGGCCTCTTGGAAAGGATCCACGGTACTCAATCAGCACTTATGCCTTCGGTTGCAGGCAAGAACCGTGGCCCAGCCGATCCGGTGAAAGGTTCCAGTCTGAAAACCGACAAGTCCAGCACAAAAGACAGCCGACCCTCCACATCCTCAAAGCACATCAGACCACAGGCTACTGCACCTCTAGATCCTGCCCATCATTCTCGCAGCCTGTTCTCTTTGCGAAGCACCTTCTGACTCGATGGCCCCTCCGGGGCACGCAACGCTCGCTACCCGAGCCTCCGATTGGTAAAGCCCCAGATACCCGACCCTCGTTGGCAGAGACCAGCCCCATCCTCCTGTGCGGCAATATACTTGCGCCAGTGACTACGGAGTGCATCCGCCGGGAAGCGGAGAGAAGAGGTCCAGTAGAAATCGTGGCTCACGCTCAATACCTACTGCGAACCTCGTACTTCAAGGGTGCCTCGAGGCTCCAACCAACCTGGCCAGCGCAGAGGGCAACACAAATCGACATCCCTAGTTTTGGGATGCGTCTTCGAGTATGGCCGCTGCATCCCCACCGCTTTTCAGTAGTTCTCGGATACCACGGGTTTTCGGCTTAGCCTGAGTCGTGTGGTTTTCATTCTTAGACTCTTGCACTCACCCTGAAGCCCCAGTTGACGCCTTGGGGTAACCGCAAGCCATGAAGTCTTTCGTGTCGGCCGGCGCCATTCGAACCCGACGATCTTCTTGCTGTACAATGACCCCTTGTCGCTCTCGCTTTGCTGGAAAGCAGAGATTGTCATTTCCTCTGCCACTTGGGAAGTCAGCTCCGTCCAATCAGTCAGGGCCGAAGGTGAGATGCAGTCTTTTGTCATGGCTCGAAACAGAAGTAGTTGCCGCCACCCAACCGTCCAAGACAGCCTATTCTTGACCGTTGCTGGTGGATGCAACCTGAAAGAGAAGGTCAAGGTCAGTAATTCCCTGAGCTGTGTGGCTACCCTAGGAGACTGTGCGGCTGCCCCATATCAGTGACAAGCTGAAAAGCGAGTCACTTAGGAAATGGTCCCCGCTGCCAACATGCAACCACTTCCTAGTGGCGCGCTCAGACGCCCGGCTACTGGTGTAGAGCAGCGGAAAGCCGACGTTGGCCCCGCTATTCTTCCAAAAAATGATATCAGATCGAGATCTCTACCAATCAACCGTTTGCCGTTTCCATTTCCAGCGCTGGCGGATTGAGCTCGCCAGAACCAACGACCAACAGCAACTTCTATCTGACACACATCATGCCAGGGGCGAGACTGTCTTGCTGCATCTCGCGCAATTTCGCCCGTCCCTTTTCGATCCAGAGGTCAGGAAAAGGCCCAAAAAGGAGGGCATGTCAGGGAAAGAGTGAAAAGAAAAGAAAGCAACCGAAGATCGACTCGGGTTGGTATGTTACAACATCCCCATCCTTGCGAAGGGTGACAACATCAGGTCTATCGAACGGGTATGTCCGTTGTCGACGCTGTGTCATGAGCAACCTCCACACACATCACTGCTTTCCTCGGTGAAATTGTACCTGTTGTAAGGCTGCACTTAGAAGAGGGCCCCCCGTGTTTTCGACAGGTCTAGCCCACGCGCCACTCCATATCGACGTTGCCCCAGCTTTATTTCCGCAGGCCCGACTTCTCCTTTGAGCACCCCTATCCTTTCTCCATACCTCCCTGCTTGCTGTGGGCGCTGGACCTACAATTCCCCGGCGGAACCAATGGTGTCAGACCACTCCGGACCTTCGCCTGGAGCAATGTAGATAACACTCGACCAGATGTTGTCGCATCCCATTCCTCGCAGCCAGCAAAGTGGTGTTACAGGCTGTCTTGAAAACAACGCAGATGTCAAATTGCGCCTCAATGCAGGCTAGGTTTGTCCAGCCAAAGGCGTATGCAGCCTCAGCTGCGAGTTTGCGCATCTGCGCCATTTTCCCGGTAACTGGGAAAGGTGCCAAATACGCTTCTCATATTGGAGCAGCCAGCTTCCCGCCTCCCCGACCGCGACCACCGACCCGACGTCCAGGTCCTCTGCTTGGGATAGGTCCACCCGCCTCGAAGCCCAATGGGAAACTCATGCCTGAGAATGAGGCACCGCCTTGGCCGTCTTCAAGCTTGAACCCCTCTCCCTCGTTCAACAATGCAGACCACAAGTTTTCAACCGCCGAGGTCCAATCGCGAAGTTGGGTCAAGTGCTGCGTGTCACCTGCATGGCTGTCTTCCACTATTACGGTTCCGTTTTCCTGATTGATTCTCGCTTGCAGCTTCTTGTCTACAATCAAGACGGCTAGAATGTCCTGGACCTCGCTGACGGGGATCTTGATATGCTTCGAGATAAATTTGAGGGTGAAGCGGCTGTACGGGGCAATCAGCTTGAGTACGGCCTTTGTACGCATGTTCCGGCTGACTTCGTCGATGTTTTCGGCAATGAATGGATCGGCGAGCAGATCCTGGTTCTCCTTGAGAATGGATTCGTAGCGGTGAATGTCGTCGCGCTGATAGGCGTCCACCAGGTCTGTCATTGCCGAAATGCGCGGGTCGTTCTTGTATGGTTTTGTCTCCTGAGAGTCGAATGGGTTGATGGTCGATTTCATCAACATTGTTGTAAGAACAAGGTATTTCAAGACCTGGATTCTCTGCATGGACCCTGCTTCATCATAGTTCTTGAACGACTCAAAAAAGTCGCTTTGCGCCTCTTTCCAGTTTTCCTCGCTCATGTGCATTTTCCCACCACATTCTCGGATGATGCCTTGGACCTTGGGGTGCGGTACCGCAGACCGAACGGTGAGAGCCTTTTGATACAGCGATTTGAGACGCTTATTGTTCTTCATCTCAGCATACATCTGTATCTCGAGTGCGTACGCCTCGAGGGAATACGTCCCCTTGCCGGGGTCATCTGTTCCGTCTTCCTTCTGGCACGCCTGGTGGATCTCCCTCACCTTGTTGCTAAGTTGACTGTAGTCCTTCTTGTCGAGATACAACTTGGCCAATTTCAGATTCGTTTTGAGAGCCAGTCTCTCATTGTTTGTGCTCTGAAAGGTGTCAAGCGTCAGGCGGTAGAACTCTTCCATGGACTTGTACGCTGTTGTCTCGGTGTCGCCATGACTCGTGCGAGCGCCTGCGCCTGCGCCAGCGCCAGGCTGACCGGCCACTTTCTCAATATAATCGAGCATATTGTTGATGGACTTTTCCGAGTAGTTCCTCGTCACCGCGGACCTCACATATGTCAACAACTCTTTGTAATGTCTGACCGCGTCGTCGTATCTGCCCAGGGCGAATTCCAACTTGATCGCCTGCTTCAGTCCCTTGAACCCCCATTCTCCCTTGTCCTCTTCCAGGGCGGGGACCCCGAGGAACTCTTCGATTGCTTCGGCCGGGTTGTCGGCTTTTAGTTGTTTGGCATTGTAATATTTGTTTTCGATATCCACTGAAGCGTCGTTACCGCCCAGGTCGTCGTCGTCCTCGTATTCAAAGTCATATCTGGACAGGCTATTGTCAATAATGGCGGGATAATACTCTTCGAGACGAGGAGTCTTGTAACATACTGCTCTGGATCAGATTCTTGCATGAAATCGTCGTCGTCCGACATGTTGCCTGTTGTGTACGGATGATTGGGGAATGAGTGGTTGATACGAAATGAGTCGCTGGAGAGATTCTAGGGGGACGCAGCTTTTGTGCCGGTGAAAATCTGGGCGTTATGGCAGTTGACAGATGGTCCGAGGAAGGAGAGGGTTTTCCTGGTCTTGCGACAGGAGATGGGAATGGTTCCAGCAGCGATTGAGATATTGGACAGTGAGCAGGTGTGAACGAACTGCGGAGAAGTGAAGGCTGCAACGCAGCCTTGTCCCGCATTCGCATTATTTGTGGAGTTTTCTGCCTGCCGCCACCTGCGGCTTAACTACAAGTTTCCGTTTCTAGCCCTTCACAACGCAATCTCCGGGTACATATTCTACACAAAGCCGCCCAACCTCTTCCCTCGACCTAACACGAATTTTTGGAGGTGGATATCCTCCCATTATCCACGATAACCTCACCCTATCCTCGAGGAGCCGCCGCACGACGTCAAAATGGGTGGCGACCTAAATCTCAAAAAATCATGGCATCCTGTGCTCATGAGCAACCAGAAGAAGGTCTGGGAGGAGGAGAAAAAGGCACTGGAGGAGCGCAAGAAGATCGACCAGATCATGAAAGAGCGCGCCGAAGAGAGAGCGATCCAAGAATTGGAAGACCTGCAAGAGGCCGCTGGTGGGAAGAAGAGACAATCTCGTGTTGATTGGATGTACAACGGACCCTCGAGCGGCCAGGCAGGCACCACCGAGGAAATGGAGGGCTACTTATTAGGAAAGAGGCGGATAGACGGCTTGCTCAAGGGCACAGACAACCAGAAATTGGAAAAGTCCGCAAAGGAGGATTCGTTCATGGCGGTGCAGAGCGCCAATACTGCCAGAGATACGGCGGCAAAGATCAGAGAAGACCCTATGCTAGCGATCAAGAAGCAGGAACAGGCTGCATATGAGGCCATGATGAATGACCCGGTCAAGCGGAGGCTTTTGCTAAAGGCGGCGGGCAGGGAAGATGATGATCGGGAACGTGATCGCAAAAGGAGGAAACATCACCACCATCATCATCATCGTCACCACAGTCGCCGTGATGGGTCTGAAGGACATGAGAAGTCCCGTTCACACCGAGACAACGATGAGGATAGCCATGGAAGAAGTAGACACCGGCACCGCAGATCATACACCCCTTCCGAGTCTCGGTCTCGCTCCAGATCTCCTCCACGGAAGCCTGCGAGGTCGCGGTCTCGGTCCCCATATCGCAGAAGACGCTCATATTCCCCCGAAGAACGAAGACGACCACGATCACGCTCCCGATCAACTTCACCACCTCGGAGAAATGGGCACAGCAACGGAGTTCGGAAAATGCAAAGTTGGCACTCTTCAAGGCCTGAGCCAGCAAGGTACCGAAGCCCACGTCGGGAAGAGAAAAGAGCAGATAGCCGCGAAGAAGATAGAGCTGCAAGACTAGCTGCGATGCAAAACGATGCAACTGCCCTCGATCAGCAGCGTGAACAAAGACTGGCCGAACTTGCAGCGAGGGAAAGGGCCGAGAGAGACCGAGACGATGCGGCTCGAGCTCGGACTGCAAAGCACGGTGGACGAGCAGACTTTGTCAACAGCTACCACAAAAAGGCCGGGAATATGACCTTGGGAGAGCGCATGGGACGCAATGGGACGTCGCAGCGAGAGGACGATGATTGACATTGTTGTTGCCTGTCTACCACACGATATCTCCCGCGATTTATTGAGGTATCATACTATAAATCATTCGGTTATTGAACCTTCTGAAGACCCATAGGATGGGTTTCGATAGTCTCGTCTGTGACAATATGTCAGTAGTAAACTTTGCGAACACTTATCTCGCCGTGGTGGTTGTTTATCGGTGGCGATAGGCGAGGCAGAGCTTATCTGTGGTGAAACACCATGAAAACTCTTAGCTTAACCACAACCACCGCAGAATTCACCCCTTGCGCAGGTGGATACTGTGTGTTACAATGGCTTCAACCAAACAGGTAGGCTTTTTGCGGTATTGTCCTTGTTGTAGAGAGGCTTGCCCAGTCGCATCTCAAGTGAGTGATCTGTACCTCCATCCCTAACCGCTGCAGGCTTCTTGTGATCTTGCGCCTCCTTGTTGCTCTGTCTGCTATGGCAGAGGCCATCTCTCCCTTTATTACAATCGGTCAGGACAGATATTATGTCGCATTCAACTCGAAAGCCAGCCGTCTACCTCTCCCCTTCATCACCAGACTCGCTCGATTCGAGGAAGAGCTGATTCCCGCCACTGCCATTGAGTGGAAAGAGTCGAGCTTCACCCCGGCCGACTTGGCCTCAATAACCACAAGCTGCAGCGCCGTAGATGATGTCTGGAGCAGCGATTTCCTCTCCCGTAAGTCTCCAAGCTGCAAATCATTCGACTCACATTCGTCTGTTCGGCTAATGCCCGCGCGCACTCAGTGATTCTCCTGCTGCGACCGCCCGGGACCAAATGCAGTGTCAGGGGACGGCGGATCTTCTCTGTTGGGAACACCGAGATTGAATTGAAGAATGGTCCGTACGTCGTGTCAAGGGCGTCTGGGAGAGTCTTTTGTGTCTATAAGCTGGCGGCAGACTCCCACCATGCGTTTGTGACGGGCGTCTTGCCACCACCAGGTTCATCATCGACATGGCGGAATTTTCCAGTTAGTTCATTATCTCGGTCCGCACTCACATAAATTGACCACTCCCAAGCTGCAGTACTGCGTCCCTCTACCTTCGAAGTTGTCTCGGTGTCACGACGGTAGATCCTTGGCGGGCTTGAGATTTGCCGTCAAGGATACGATCGCCATCAGAGGACTGAAGACCGCCTTTGGCAACAACGCCTGGCGTGACACCTACCCTCCAGAGAACGCAACTGCGCCAGTTGTCGAAGTTCTACTCGAAGCCGGCGCCGTCCTGGTTGGAAAGCTCAAGACTACCGAGTTCGCCGAGGGCGTTGACCCTTGTGAATGGACCGAGGATGTTTGTCCCTTCAACCCTAGAGGGGACGGACAGCAGAAGCCTTCGTCTTCCAGTACTGGAAGTGCGGTAGCGGCAGCAGCCTACAAGTGGTTGGATTTCACAGTTGGAACGGATACTGGCGGGTCGATTCGACACCCGGCTGGAGTGAACGGGGTATTTGGGCAACGGCCTTCACATGGGCTGCTCAGCCTTGAGGGAGTCCTTGGGGCCACGGACTTGTTTAACACGGTTGGAATTTTTGCCAGAAGTGTCGATGTTTTCAATCGAGTCGGCTCTTATCTTATATCTCAGGCCCAGCGCCCGTCGAGGTTTTCAGATGGTCGCAAGTACAACTTGCTCTGCCCAACAAGACCTGCCGAGCTCGTCAATGCTGGAGCTTGTCTCCACGGCCAGCACAAGTGGCTTCCTCATCCTTCGATCGATTCAATGGACTGGTCGCTAGCTGAAAAGCAAATCGAATCGGTGCTCACCCGACTCGAATTCCACCTTGATTGTGAGAGGGTGTCTTTTGACATCGACGAATTGTGGAGAGCCACACCACCAGTCGGTCAGCCAAGGTCGCTTGATCAGGCCGTTGGACACGTCTACTCAGCCATTACAACGGCATCAGCTGTTGTAGGTGGTATCAATCAATTCTTCGACAAACACCGAGCAAACAACAACGGGCAGTCTCCAAAAGTCTCGGATCTGGTTAATCGCCGTTTTGAGTACGGACGCAACGTGTCGGCAGAGACGATCACCGACGCCCTGGAGGCGATGCAAGCGTTTAAACTCTGGGTCGAAACGACTCTTTTCGGTTCATACGACCAGGACGCCATCACTTTACTGGTATTTCCGCAGTCCCGTGGTCTGCCAGACTACCGCGACGACATTCCTGATCGAACTGGACTCTTCAACGACAATTTCAGCATTTACTCGTTTGGGTATCTGGTAGGTTGTCCAGACTACACGATTCCTGTTGCAGAGATCCCGTACTTGTCGAAGATTACCTCCAAGACTGAATTTCTGCCCGTTTCGATCAGTCTTGTAGGGCCCCCGGGCTCGGATCTGGAGCTCTTCAATGTCGTGCAGCAATTGCACAGGTTTGGTGTGATTTCGGACGTGGCCCCGGGACCGCGACTCTACCCAAAGCACGTTGACATTCACGAAATATCGTCTACCACATAATCTGTCCGTCGTGCATGTGTGGTTGCTGAACATCACCCGGTTTGAGCATTTTGTTCCCTTGAAAGCTGTCAGTCAGCGCTCCGCTGCATGCCTTCTCACAAGCCCACCCAGGGCAACACGATGTCTGCTCAAGTTTCTGCGATTACCGCTGGCAACTTCGCACTGAGACTCCCTAGAGGTACGAAGCAGATTCCAAGGAATTCACAGCATGAGCCGAGCTGCACGACATTCCTCTCGGAGGATTACCACTGCCTTCCTCAAAGTTTCCTATTCAGGAGTATTCATGTTGTGACGTTGATGAAGACCACTACGCCAGACGTTGTAGTGCTCCCACTTGAATACCTTTGAGCATTTGCAGGCAGCAGCCTCCGCAAATGGCACATCTTCCATGCACCAATGTATGGGAATTCGAGTACTTTACGTCCCTCGCGTGAAACTCGATCCAGCAAACCCCGAGCTTGCGCAGCCCTGCGTACTACCAGTCTCACACGGTACGAACAGAGCCACTAGTTGGCAAGGTGTGGCTACGACCAAATGCGCTTCATCTCCAGCGTTGTCACATTCTTTTATATCGGCATTGCTAGCTCAAGGTAGCCAAGCATCAATGGCTTGCCTGTGTATGTATACTGTGCCAGGGAGTTCTCAAAATTGTTTCTTCTCCACTTTCACCAACGCATCAGCACAAACCTTTGCACTTTTTGCAATAAAACTCGAATCCTGGCCGCCCAGGATATAACCCACGCCCAACTCATGCAACGCCCAGCCGTGGATCGTGGGATTGTCGTAAACCCCACCAAGGCCCATGATCTTGCCGTGCTTCTTGCACGCTTGACTCACTTTTTCCATCGCAGCCTTGTACACCGGGCTGTCAAACTGCGAGGGAATGCCGAGCTCGATGGATAAGTCGTTGGACCCGACGAGGAGCACGTCGACGCCTGGGACGGAGGCGATGGCATCGAGGTTTTCCAGAGCCTCCTGTGTTTCGATCATGACGATAACGGTCGAGCCCAGTTCGTTCGATTCGGAGATCACGACGGAGTGTGGCTGGGCCGCGTATGCGAACTGGGGGAGTTGCCCGGTCATCGAACGTTTTCCGACTGGCGGGTATTTCGAGATGGAGACGGCGGACTCGGCCTCAGCTATGTGATCGGTCACAATGGAATCCAAGTATCCTTCTCACTCTCTCCCTCGTGGTATTTTATGAAAAACGCGGAGGCAAGGAGAAATGAAAAGCGCCAAAGCCGCAAAGAGAAGCACGCTTCAGGGCATTCGCGGATAAGGGGCCGCTTATGTGCGCGTGTGCAAAATCCAAATATAGCCGCCGCTCAATCCCTTGACACATACCTCTTGTGCTCACATGCGGGAAAATGACGCCCATGGCTCCTCCGTCCAACACCTTCTGGACGAACCCGTCGCCGCACTGGTACGGGACTCTCACGAACGGAGTTATCCCCGCCAACAGACCCGTCGTGCAAAGCTGGCTGGCATCGCTGACAGACAAGGTCGAATGCTCGAGGTCGATGAAGAGCGTGTCGAAGCCGGCCGAGGCTGCAATCTGCACGACCGACGCCGACGGGGTGAGTTTGATCCCGAATGCCTGTGCTCATATATCTGGCTGGTTATGATGACTTGTTCGTCTCAAACAGGGGTTTCGACAATGTTGTTCTAGACGTGGCCGGCAAAGTAAAGATGGGGGAGGAAGAGGAGGTGAAGAGGTGCTCAGAGGGACTGGAGAATGCGAGATCGAGAGACAGGAAATTTGGGGGGTGACTATACCTTGCACACCGAGCCTGCCTGCCGGAGGCGATATAGATTATTTGGGAAGATTGTCGGCATGGTCTGTGATGTTGCTCGTGTTTTTCTTCTTCTCCTCGAATGCTTTGCTCACCCTCCAGCCTTGTAGCCCGTCAATCTATGCGTGCTCAGATTCCAAGAACGTTGGCGATGTACTTGACTCGAGGGAGGAAGAATACCCACTCTGCCGAGACCACATGGTCTTGCATATAAATCAATCATGTTCTCCTCCATCTCCCCATCAATCAGTAACTCCTCCATTGAGGCCTTTTTCTTCGCGGCCGGCCCTTCCCCGCGTGCCCCGAGGGTAAAAAAAACTCAATGGGTGGAAAAAAAAGGGGGTCAGAGTTGGAGAGACTCGCCTCCTCCATGGACAAGTATCGTGGAGAAGTGCGAGCTTGAAGCCACCATTATTCTGGTTCAAACATACATCCGATCAAGCAACCTCCTCTCGGGGAGAGTTGTTCCGAGAGGGTGCGCAGCCTGGTCTCTCCCTGCCTTCCCAAGTCACTTTCCTAAGCAAAGCCAGAGGAGGGAGTGGGTCGGAGATCATGGACCTGTGGTCACTCACTGGCCGGGCCGGTGCATCCATTTCCCCTCTGCTGCTGCAAGCTCCTAGAGGTAGGGATGTACTGGCTGACTGGTAAATTATGTGATATGGCTTCGAGGGGGACTCTGCGGTTTCGCTGGATCATTTTTCCGGCCTTTGCTGCTCTGGAGGGCTCGTTGACTCCCTGACTCCCTGGTTCCCGTCCACTTACGGCAGGTACGCGGCAGAAGAAGCCCTACGTCATCAATTCATCTCTCCCTGGTGGCCCTTGCGCAATCATTGAACAAAGTCTCAGCCGCAGGGCGCTCACTGCTCCTTCTGTCATAGCCACTGATGAGAGATTCAAAAGGTCGCTGATCCTTTTATATTCTCATTCCTACGATCACGGCGCAGAATCTAGCTAATACACCTGAACCATCTGTCGGGCAGTGTATACACTCACTGCCTCCTTCTGCAAGTATAAGGATTCGCGACCTTTGAACAACCAGCCCCTCCAGCGCGATGGCCTGACCACTCGTACTGAGTACACCTGATAACTAGACCGATAGACTGGATTCGAAACCGTCGAGTCCTAATCACCACCACCATGGCCGATCCCGAACCCGGGCATTCGCCCGTCCAAGCCACGACCAACACCACCGAATACGCGCCTCTCCTCCCGTCCGACCGCCAGTTCATCTCTGCTCTCCATCAATCACAGGACTTTATCGCTTGCCACATCGTCAAGATACACGGCGAGGACAGCTCGGTGTGGAAGCTCCGTCACTCGCTGCAGCACTGGTTCTCGTCCAAATGGGGCCACTACTTTGTGATCCTCCTGGTCTCGGCCGACATATGCTGCATCTTTGCCGATTTCCTCATCAGTCTACACATGTGCGAACATGCCGGGGAGGAAGGGTTCAACTTGAGGGCGTGGCAGCGGGCAAACGACGTGCTTGGCTATGCGAGTCTGACCTTCTCGTGTCTGTTCATGGCGGAATTGCTGGGCAGTGTTTTTGCGTTTGGGTTCAGGTAATGAATGCCCTCTATATCTTCTTGACAGTCATCCATCCGTTAACCTCAACACTTCTGGTGCAGGTACTTCAACAACTCGTTCCACATCTTCGATGCCCTCGTCATCATTGCCGCTTTCATCATCGACGTCCTGCTGCGCGGTCCGCTGGAAGAAGCCGGCTCCCTTGTCGTCGTCCTGCGACTCTGGCGCGTGTTCAAGATTATTGAGGAGTTCTCCTCGGGCGCCGAAGACGAAATCGCAGAACTGCAGGAGAAGATTGACGAGCTGGAGCAGGCCAGGGACGACGTCCTGAAAGAAAACGAGCAGCTCAAGCACAGGCTGAGGAGTGGGTATAGAAATGCCGACGGGGATGGACATGTCGGTGACGGTTGATTGTGGAGTGGCAATGCGACTTCAACGCCCGAGGTCTGGATTCTAGAAGAAGGCAAGAATGGCTCTTTCCCGACGAAGAACTCACCGGTGTACACCATATAGCCGTACAGGTCACAGGTCACAGATGCGGTGGAAGCACCAGAATACCCCTAATGCAGCACAAGCGAGGAGTTTGTCGGCGAAATACACGGTCTGTTCGACGATCCACGGGTTTTGGTGTCCACCTCTACGAACACACCTTTGTGTATAATGACCAGCCACGTAATGAATTAGAAGGACATGATAACACGTATTGATACAATGAAGAGGAAAGATTTTCATTTAATTCTGGGGAGCTCTGAAGATGTATGTGTGTATGTAGCTTGTTTTTCGATACATTTGCAACTGTCTGTCGTCAACGAGCCCTGAGCCCGGCGGGGACGTTTGAAACCAAAGTCCACCCAGCCGTGATCGTGACCGTAATGGGGCATGTCCTCCAAGATGGGAAGATCCGAGCCCAAAAAAAAAACAAGGAAAAACGACAGGGGAGAAAAAACCAGGCCTATCCGATTGGCGTGGAGGTAGAGCATTCTGAGACAATAGCCGGGACGACACTTTTTCCAGGCGGGTCGGTCAAGACCGGGCACGGTCGCACTCCTCGATGAACCGGTAGATGCCCTCAAGACCCTCGTAGCCGTTGTCGTGTCCGTTGTTGAGTGAGTGGTCGGGATAACTTTCTCCTGTGGAGATGTTGTTCCGTGGCTGGAAAAAGTACATGGCGGCGACATCTTCGTCGTCATCTAGCAGTTCACTCTCGTGCAGGCTGGAATAGTCCCGCGGGCTGGACATCCAGGGGTTTTCGGCCAAGGCGTCGTCGATTATTTCAAACGCGTCGGGAGACTTGCTCGTGACTGAAATGTGCGAGAAGCCCTCAGAGGCACGTTGGGGAGGGGTGAGCATCTCCTGCCACTCCACGCGGTCTTTCTTGATGCGCTTGACTGGTCGATCGCCGAAGCCACAGATGGAGTCCATGCAGCCTGCCTCACTGGCCGTCTTGCTGGGTGCAAAGGGAAACAACAGTGCGATTTCCGTCCCGTTCCTTGCGTCAAAGTCCTCGTCTTGGCCCACCATGCCGCGCTTGATGTTGAGTTCCCGACACAGAGCCTCCACAGTATCTGCGTCGCAGCCAGGAAAGCGGACGCGGAGGGTCGTGCTATTATGCAGAACAATGGGGAGGTCGCCCAGTGTTGCCAAGTGCTTGAGATCGTTCATGACAGCCGCAAGGTCTTTCAACGCGCGGGCAAAATCAATGGAGAGGTTGGACATGAGCGTGACGTTGTTCAAGGTGTCTTGTTGGGCCTCGTAATCACAGGACGTGGTAGAAGGCGAGCGAGGGACACTGGCCAAGGGACCAATGGCGGTAATAGTGGGAGAAACCTTGAAGTCTATGAAAGACCCGGGTGCAGTCTTTGATGACATGTCCATGGTATGCCTGGCATCTTCTTGAAGGCTAGAAACGGCCCGGAATCGCTTCTCGCCAGTACGGGGATTGGCTCCATCAAAACGAGCTTTTTGTCCTGAGAGCCAGAAAGCTCGTACAGCCTGCGAGACATTGGTCACCACCTGTGCTTGCGCCGCAGGAGAGTGAGAGAAGTATCTGGCTCCACCGACTCGACCACCTCCTAGTCCATAGCCACCTGCGTGACGGCATAGAGTACCCCCAGTAAGGTTTGGTCGAAGGGTCGATGCGAAGGGAGCACGGCCAGTCAGTCGCCCTACCGCCGCAGCAGTGCGTGAGGAAGGATAGGATGCACGAGTCGGACGGGCTTTCGAACCAGACTGCGAAGAGTAGTGCCTGGTGTTGTTGAAACTGTGCAATTTTGTGCTGTACCAGCGGCTCTGGGTCTGCCGGATCTGTGCAAGGCGGTTGACGGGTTGTTGACGTTGAGAGACACGGGCGTAGGCAGGCTGGACGTCGGCCTCGAGTGGTTTGGTTGCCTGCGGGATCTTGTCACGAATAAACCTCCCCGTCTTCTCGGCGGCGAATTTGACCAGCCTCATGGCCTTGGAGACCAAGAGGTGTCCTCCCGACGACGCCATGATGTTTACCCACCAGGCGGATGGACACTTGTTGACAGTGATGGAAGGGGAGGGATAGAGAAATAGGCAAGTAGGTCAAGTCATGGATGTTGAACGTTGAAGTTGGGGTAAGAGATTCGCCACACAGAGGGGATCGGATTGGATCGGGAGATGATTGGCTGGTGCCTTGAGGGCGTCAAAATATTTCTCCGATTCCGACGCTTGGCCTTTCTTACATAAGCCACCGATGGCCATGCACGTGCCATGGCATGGCATTTACATACTTTCTGGTGCAATCTCATCTGCTCTGATCGCTGCATGATAAGCTGGCGAGCTTTGCTGAAACGAGAGCGTGGTTGATCAAGCTCACAACACAAGTCAACAACACGCACGGGATCAGCCCCTTTTTCAATCCCTAGACTCTCGATAGACCAGATCGGTGGCGCACACGGCTGGGAGTTTGGCGAGTCTGGGAGTCAAAGTCGCGTCCACTTCTGGAGCTGGCACCGTAGCCCAGCACGCCAGCCCAACCATGAGGATAAGGCTGGGTTCGGTAATCTGCGACACGCACGACGCCTTCTTGACTTTTTGTCTCATGGAATTGACAGCGTCATGTGTCAAATCTCCCCTGGTCGCCCCCCTGCTTGCCGAGTCCCACGAGTCCTAATTCAGCCTCTTGCAAGCGAGAGTTGGGCTCAAACTGGTGTAGCGACAAACGCCAACGCCAGTTGTCCGTCGTGTGGCTTCTCCGTGGGCCTGGCTCGATCAAGGCTGGCTTTGTTCGTCAGTCTTTTTTGTTTGTCTTGTGTTTGCCTATTCTCCCCCGCTCATGAAGCTTGCCGTCATCATCATATTCTCCTTCCTTTGTCTTTGTTCACTTTGCCTTTGGGTCTGCATGGGCTGGCTGCGCCAATCATGGATCTCATTTCCCGTGGCCCCTTCTAAACTCTTTTTTCTCAAATCCCAAGGCTGGAATTGCTTCCACAAAGTCGATAGTTTCCTGCCCGGGTGGGGAAATGGCTTGTCACTCACGAACAGCTCGGACAGCTCCCTGCAGCTTCAACACGGGCCAAAAAGTCTGCCTTTTCGTGTCGCTTGCTGAGTGGTCCCCGAACTGGCAATTCCTAGCCATTCCTGGCCATTCCTGGCCATGCCTCTGCTCCACTGCTGGGACCTTCGCTTCTCCTTTCACCTTCTAGTCGCTCTTAGGAACACCATTTCCCACCCCCAGAATCTTCCCTCGCGGCCTCTCTCAGCCGCATGGCATCCAGAAGGTTGGATCGTCGAATGATTTCACGTACCCCCTTGCTTGTCGTCTTCCCCTTTCAAGCATGGTTTTCTTGGTGGACCCCGATTCCACCGTCAACGTGGCTAACTAGGATTGAGTCCCGAGAATGGGTTGGGCTAACAAGGTTCCTCTTCTCGTCCACACCGATGTTGATTCATGGCCTAGAAGCACGGGCTCGTGTTCTTTTGGCCCAGCCTAATGAAATCAAAAAGTTCAAGTAGGCACCTGTTCCCAAGCTTCCTCTCCTCTGTTATCAGGCCTTCACTGTTTCTCCTTGCTCTTGACAGTTGGTGCTCAAACACCTCTGAAGGAGTCTCTGTTCTCACATACCCCAGGGATCTCATAAACAAACAGTACACAAAACGTCATGGAGCAACTATGTGCTCTCTCCTCGCACAACCCGCGGTGCTTTGCTTCTAAACCTCAGCCTCAATCTCAACCCCAACCTCAACCCCAACCAGAGACGGCCTCTCAATCCGCTGCGAGACTACTATTTAAATCACACTGGAAACTGAACACAGAGTCATCCCGCGAGGAGCCCAGATTACGGAGGGTGCTGGGCCATGTATCAGTCTACGACCGAACACGGACCTTCACAAACCAAACACAGCAGACACATCAGCCAGCTGCGGCAGAAACAACAAGACCCGAATCAAACGAGCTCTCGGAATACATCCAACACCAAGTACCTTCGTTCAAGGAATTCCAGGCCGCGCTCGAAGCCCAATTGGCGACGATTGCACAGATCAGAGCCGCGGCGGCACAATACAGCAATGCTGAGGAGTATGGCAGTGACGAAGAAGATGACAGCGACTATGACAGCTGCGACGGCGAATGGTCTGACAACGAGGACACCTCAGCCGAAAGCGACGACAGCAGCTGCACCGACTACGAGAGCGAGGGCCAACGGTCCGAGTGCTCCAGTCCCACCTTCGACTCGGTGCACGCCAAGTATGACACGCAGGACCAAGAGGAAGATATATGGGCCATTCGCCCTCTGATACCCCTTGTCAGCACCCGCTCCGCAGCAGCTTCGGCTACGGGGTAGGTGCTTGTGTAGGGCTGAGATTCTCTTTAGGGAAACCCATGCTGGCCACTGGCCACTACATGTACCGAGTACTCGCTACTCGTATCCTTTTTTCAGCTTCTCGTGTCTGTCGTTCTTGGCGCGGAGTTTTGATGGGTTTGGGGTTTGGAGATTCGCGCTTGGGTTTGTCTCGAGCCAGGCGGACACATGGGAAACAAAAGCGCATGTTACTGGATGGACAGATGGAACCTTTCTTTGTTTTTCAGAATTTGGGGGCCTTTGCCCCTTGTGATACCCAAAAAGGTGTAACCTGGAACTATATACAAGGTGAAATGAATTCTCTGGTCTGGTGCTCGTCAAATAGCTGGACGACGCACACACACAACACACAATATCGTGCCGACTCTCTCAGTCGTGCATTTCGAGATTTTTGTCTTGCCGTCTTGTTCCCCACGAGTATCATTCCTTTCTGTCGATCTTCTTTTTCAAAATGCCCCAGAGATCATATATAGCTGACCACTGCGGGGAATCTTCGATTCATCTGTCGCCATAACTCCACACGGGTCGTTGTGCCCAGATAACCCGCTCCCTCGAGAAGAAACATTCGAAACGCCTTTCTTTATTACACCGTTATGTCCTGTTATCATCTTCTGGAATGAGCCACACTCTAGTGCTTGTTGCCCAACGTCCGGTTATATTCTGAGCTCTCGGCGAACCATTTGGTGCTGTCGAGGGTCGAGTTCCGCTTGGAGAAGCGATTGGCCATCCGTCCACCTGATCTGGCAGCCTGGAGAGGAACATCCTTGTTAGCCTTGACTCTTGGCAGAAGAAAGACAGACTGTGTATGTTACGCGTCAAGCTTGGGGAGGAGGGAGAAAGTTTAAAACAAAGAAGCATTCATGGGTAAGAAACCCCTCGATGTTCGGTAAGACTTACCCCATAAGCCACAGCACCTGCAGTTCCAACAGTCGCCACGGTGAAGATCCCTCTCATGAATTGTCTGTCCTTGGGGGACATACTGGGGTGGGCTTGATGTGATACGGCTGTCGAAGCATATCGAGCAGGGGATGTGAGGCGAGGGCCCATCGCCATGACAGAGCGTCGTGAGATAATTTGACGAATAGCGTTCATCTTGGCGGTTTGATGTTGTTGGTTGTATAGAAGTAGTAAAACTTGGGGAAAGGAAGGCTTTGTTCTGGGTTTTTGTTTTGGAGCTCTCACAGAAGAATTGCAAGGTTGAGTTGAGTTGTTTGTTGGTGTGACCTACCGTGATTCTATCGCAGGCTCATGACGAGGTTTTATCTGTTGCGATCTGGTTGCTCTGGCCAGGCACAGATTTACTTGCCCGACTTCATCCATTGGTGGTGGACAGCGTAGAGTGTGGTTACTCTGCAGCCATCAGTACACGGCAATCGATCTTCAGGAACCCAGAACTCAAAAGAACACAGGTATGTAGTGTGATCGCATCACCAGTTCGCAGGTAAAGAGGACGAGTTCTCTGGTGACAGGCACAAAAGGTGATCGACGACGGCGGCCTCCGGGCCATGCCACAAGGGGAGACTGGTCTCTCACGCTCTGGACGGGGAGATGCGCAGGATCCAAGGCTGAAGGGGGCTGAAAGGGAGTAGGATGGGAGAGAGAAGTGAGTGGTCGATCCAACGGTAGAGGAAGAATCGAGCCCCACAGAGATGGCGCAGATGGTCAGGCCACGAAGATTTATTCTAGTCATAAACAAATCATTTCACTCGATTTTGCGGTGTCATAGTCGTCATTACAAATTCAATCGACCTGTCTCATGCCCGGGAGTCTGGAACAATCTCCGCGTGGGTCCAGACCCGTCCGGTAATTTTTCCACGTACTGCAGGTACCGCTACCGAGGCGCAGCATCAATTCTCACACTATTAGTGGTCCTGATGATACAGCTAACAGCTTGGCAATACAACTGCTGGGAGGCGTGGTGTGACCGAGGGGCTCTTACTCACCCTCTGGCAGCGCCAACTCTACCCGAACACCCTTCTCTGCGCTCCTGACTGGAAATCTCCGGATTTGCTGTGCCGAGTTCCCAACGTCGTCACTCGACTTACTTCTTCTACAACAAACACCAAAATCTCCACCGCTGTCTAAATTCCCTCTTAACACCGTCATTGTGGCCTGACATTCTCCTGCCCTCGAACACTACCCGCCCCAGGTCGCCCGCAATCACTCCGTTTAGTGCTGAACGACGGTCGCAATCGGGCTGAAGCGAGGACAGCGCCGACAAAAGACTGGTAGACAAACCTCCGAGTCAGCGCTTGGTGGATTGATTCGGCCATCGCGAGACGGTAATCTTTCGGACCTCGAAGGTCCTGTTGTATGAACAAAGCCTCTGAAACCAAAGGAAACCAACGGGACAGCAAGGCAAAGTAGTCATGTCGGTGGACACAATGCCCTTTCGGCAGCTGTTCCACCAGCAGGACGGCTCTCCTGACTTTGACGGACAACCTGCATTTCAAACTCTGCATCCCCAGCTGGCCATGGTCGTCCCCGACTCGATTGATTTCACGGGGTGGCATGAGATGGACTTCACCACTGCTCCGCTCACTACCACTGCTTCGTCACGGGGGACACTGCACTCACACCAACCCCTCGACCAAAAATACTCAACCGCCATGGACAGAGATCAGGATCCGTTGGCGTATCTTCACTCTTCCAATCACCGCCAGGGGTCGACGGGTAGCCTGATGACCTCTTCTTCCCATCAACAGTCTCCCGAGGCACGACGATCCTCAGGAGACATGTACTCTAACAACCAATATTCCTACTCTCAGCTTCTCAACATGGAGGCAAATCTTCCACCCATGGATCAGTCGAGGCTCAGCTCACGCGCTGATGACGATGCAACTATGCTAAACAACGACAACAGTCTCACGACAACATTATCACCTTCAGACTCTGTCAACACCACCCGCTCCATGAGTAACCTGGATCCTATCGCTGCTTCGATAGCATCCAAGACGGATTCAACCGAAAAGCTCTGTCCTCTCATCGCAGGCCAAGTAGACAGCTGCCAGCCACAACGCTGCGGCCCTGACGCCCCTTGCATGAACTTCACCACTCTGCCACCGATTGAGGAGTGCACCTCCGTCCCCTGCATCACGGGGTCGACGACCTCGCCCAGTGAGACCATGATCAGCAACGACAGCATGTCTGTCGAGCTACATCAGCCGCCCAGGTTGAGCTCGAGGACAAACACCAGCACTTCTCGTTCTTCAGCCACCCGACGCTCATCAAGTTCCACCACTGCAACCACCGAGCTGCCTGACACTGTCCCTCTACCTCCTCGAAGAACTTCGGCTACCAACGCCCGCCGTCAAAACCGAACCAGTCCGACCATGACCACAGCTGCGTCATTGGCCTCGGATGATGAGGACGAAGAACAGCCGACTGCGAAGTCCACTGCTCCATCCAAGGCGGATGCCAAACAACGAGCCAAACAAGCCCACTCACTCGTGGAACGCAAGTACCGCGAAAACCTCAATGCCAAAATCTCCCAGCTGCACAACACCCTCCAAGCATCTCATTACGGGCCCAAAGTGGGCGAGGATGGCGAGATCGAAGCCGCGAACTCGGCCAGCGGTCTCCCTCCACCGAAGGTGCGCAAGAGCGATGTGCTAACCGAGGCCATGAACTATGTCAATCAGACTGAAGTCGAAATGCGACACATGGAAAACGAAATCCACAGATTGACCGAAAGAGTTCGGGTATTGGAGAAGCTGGTACGTTGCGAGGACTGCAGTCTGCTGAAGCAGATGGTGAATCTTCAGGTTCAAGCGGTCTAAATTGCAGAAAACAAGGGGGAATTTGTGAAAGTATTCCCAGGATTCTGTTAGGAGTACCGGCGTTTGTGACGTGGGATGGCTAGGCCAGAGAGCCACGAGAGCCATGAGGGCGGCCTTGAGTTCCTTTTCTGGATGAAGTTTCTTGATGATTTCCAACTGCAAAGAAATGAGTTGGTCCGCGACCAATTGTGCAATTGTCCTTGTTAGATGTCGCTTATCTTGGGAAACCAAAATGACCTGTTGAGAATGAGAATACCAAAGTACGAGTACCTTGCTGCCCACCGACTCGTATGAATAAGCGGGATGGAGAGCTACGTTTGATCAGTGTATATAAATACATACATACCACACACATGATATATGTTACCAAGTGCTTGGAGATGAGTTTATGAGGAGTTATACCATGTAATACCGAGGACATGAACATTGCATGTATACAAGTACACCGATTTGATTTGACACGACTCCCTTTACCATATACGTCGTGACGGGGTACACCTGGATGTATCTATTTATTTATACACTGTTCACCGGAGTGTTCTCTCCCACGATCATGGCATTATCTGTACCGAGGACTCGCTAGATTATCTCTCTCTCTCCCTCCCAGATAGTTATGTAGGTATCTTCCAATTCGGCGAGTGAACAAATGTACAATGGACAGTGTACAGTGCATAATATCTCATCTCTCTTGAGTCCCCTTTTGCCCCGTGTTGCGAATTGAGTCCCCTGCTTGTTCTCCGCCTTGGAAAATGAGTAGATAAGTACTCGGTGCATGAATCGCGTTGTCACCATCACCACCACAATCACGATTACGATCACAACCAGGTAAGTAGCAGGTGGTAACTAGCAGAATACCCATGTAGATAATGTGAGATTACCTACGAGGTACCGGTGCGGGTACGAGTTCGAGTATGTCATAGATTGTCATAAAGCGCAACAGTGCATGCTTGTAGTCATATGAGGAACGCTGACAGATGGGGGAAATTACCCATGGTACCAGGTACTTGGTGCGATTAGAGCAGAAGGTCCGAGTAGAGGGTTCTTGTACGTACAACTCTGTGCCTAGGAGTTATGCCTTGCACGTGCGAAGTACGAGGTAATAATATAATTATTACTGCCTTCCATTCCATTCCTGGCTCGGCGTGTTTGACGTGTTTCAACTGCAGCGTAGAAACTGACAAACTCGCCAGGGTACTAGGTAATTATGCAAAGCATGTACCACCGAGTATGGTAGCCTGAAATTGGAACTGTATTACGCACATCATCTATATATGTTCGTTCGGTACGTATGTACTTGTGTGACAAAATAACCAAAAAAAGGTTTTGATCCTCCGAAGATGAGACTGGGGTAAAAAGGAAAAATGATGGGGCTTCTTTCTAGCCCTCTCGAGATCAGAGACAGAGACCGCAACTGTAACTGAACCAGCCGCCTTTTGCGCACATAACCGCAAGCAAAGTCTTCCTTCTCTTTTCTTTTCTATCGGTGGATAGGTGGACAGGTGGGCTGGTGTGGATTGAACAAATCTTTTCTGGACCTTCCTTTACTCAATCTCAATCCTCACGCCCGCGCCTTTCAGGGCCTCCATATCCTCCAGACTCCGCTTGGGCAGGTCGATGCGCAGCAGGCCGCCGTCGAGCCGGGCCTTGAGCTCCTTCATCTCGACGTCCTCGGGCAGGGTGAAGGTGCGGCGCCACGCGCCCACGCGCCGCTCCGACAGCAGGATCGTGGGCGTCACGTCCGCCAAAGCCTCCTCGTCGAGCGTCTCGTGCGACTTTTCGCGCTGCAGGGGCCCGCCGTCAGTCTCTTCCTGAGGCTGTGGGTTGACATAAGAGAGAAGGTGTTAGGTTATTTGGTGTTTCGAGTGGTCTTTTTGGTAGAGAAATGGAGAAGGGAGAGGAAGGGGGAGGTGGGAATAGGGTTATGTATTGTGTGAAGGTAGGAGGAGAAGATAGGGAATTGTGTAAGGGAAAACAAAACGTACCTTGCCGTGGCCGGTCTCGGTGGCCCATCCGTCACCCTCGCCCTCCCACACCTTCTTTCCTTCTCCTTGGTCCAGCAGTCCGATGTTTCTGGGCCGGCTGGCCACGCCCTGCACCAGCAATGTGTGCGGGCTCATCCACGTAATCACCAAGTCGCTCTTGTTCTCCTCGGTGACGCCGGGAACCTCGATCTCAATGTGGTACGCGCGCACGGTCTCGCGGATATCCGTGGCTGGGGCGAACGCGGTGCCCGACTTGGGCGCCGACACGCTGCTGGGCGCGTGCGGTCCCTTGAAGTGCGACTGCAGCGTCGCGTGGTGGAGCGACGTGCGC